AACTATGATTTTTAACCCTGAAAGATGTTTGAGTCCATTTTTTAAAAAACAAACATTTTTAACAAGAGTTATTGTGTAATGTTAGGTTGGCTTCTTCCAGAGTGGACATTAAGACAAGGATTAGAAAACAAGCAATTTATTTGAGAAATAATCCAAAGAAAACATTGCTAAGGGAGAAGGGAAGAAATATGTGGAAATGAAGGCTATAATAAAAGATTAATATCAAGAGTTTGACACTGTGGACAACCAGGGCTGTCTCGCTGGAGAAATCTGGGAGATGGGGAAGTAGGCATATGCCTCAGAGTTATCCCACTTGAGGGGTAAGGAAGCTGTGATAGCTACTGTCCCTAGTTTTCATCCAGTTCCTATCCATCACTGGCTGAAGGCTATGGTGAGGGCACTTCTGGCCTGCCTTCGCCCAGCCAAGAGGAGCCCTCCAGAGGAGAATCAGTTGCTTGCAGCCTGATATTGCTCCTATGTTCTGGAAAGCTGAGTGCTAAGGGTTGTGGCTATAAATCATTAAATCATTTTCTTGTGCAAACTCCATTAAATCAATTTAATTCCTTGATCGCTTTTCCATATGGAGTGGTCAAATATATTCCCCTCATCTTTTGTTTTGTTTTGTTTTCACTTCTGTTTTACTAAAATGAACCATAAGTTTCGACCATGGTAAGTTTCTTTCTGTTTCTACCAAGGCCATTATTTCTACCAAGTCCAGTTTTCTCACCTCTATAACTAAACTTTTTACTGCCGATTTAGCCATAGTCATTTTTATTTTTATTTGATTGCATTCACCAAGAATAACCACTATAAATTAGATTGAGGAAAACAGAGGTCTGCCTGTATATTAGCCAATCACTGAGGCCATTGTGAGCATTACCCCTCAAATAGTCTCAGATGGCTCTGCCGCCCAGGACAGCTAGTAACCCAGCTCCACCTCTTCCTAGTTGTGTGAACGTTACTGAATTTATAGGTTAGCCTCCTTCAACTTCAATTTACTCACCTGCAAAACTGTGCTAATAATAGAGACCAACTTCTTGTTAGGGATCAGTTAAGGTACATCATTTGGAAGAACTCGTGGCCTAGAGTAAGTGTCCAATATGTACTGCTTATTATTATCATTGTTGTTAATTAAGATCATTATAATGATATGCCAATTATTTCATGTACTACTGATCACTGTGCCAAAAGGATACTCTCCATCCACACTATTCGAAAAGAGCAAATGGTTGTGTTGAAATGATAGACAAAATGTCCCACCTCATTGGCAATACTACTTGCTTCATAGGGTTGTTGCTGGTAGAGGAATGATAAAACAATATGTTTAAAGAGCCTGGTACACAGTAGACACTAAGCACATGCTTTTTCCCTTTGGCGTTCCTTAAGATATGTTCCTTGAGTCTTGAGGATCAGAGAAATAGTGTTATGGTGAGTTTCTTAAGCATTTCTAGAAAGTTGGCCTTCCTAAGTCCAGAAGGGTTTGAGTTCTACTGGCTTATGTCACATTGAGCAATTATGGTGAAGTTCCAACATCCTTTCAAAAATGTCAGCATAGGGAATAGAGTCAATGGAATTGTAACAGCTACATATGATGTCAGAGCAGTAGTAGATTGGGGGCGGGGGATTATCACTTTGTGAGGGGTGTAAATGTCTAACTATTACATTGTTTTGTACACCTGAAACTAATAAAAAAAAAGAAAAAAGGAATGTCTTAAGAAAGGTGTGATTTGCTATTTTTATTTGTATAGCTCTCACTATAGTCAGCATTTCAAGATGCTCTACGTGCTAGTTATGATCATGCGCTTAGATTGTTTCTCTAAAATTTGGGCATGTGTTTTTGTCTTTTTTAGATTTAATTGTGGGTGCATTTGGAGCAGGAAAAGTAGCCGTTTACAGGTATGTGGTTGGTGGTATGCAAATGTTTTTTACTGAAGTAAAATTGATATGTAACATTATATTAGTTTCAGGCATCCAGCATCATGACTCAATATTTGTATATATTGTGAAATGGCCACCACAGTTAGTCTAGTTACCATCCATCACCCCACACATAGTTACAAATTAATTTTCTTGTGATGAAAACTTTTAAGATGGATCCTCTCGGCAACTTTCAAATACACAACACAGTATTATGAACTACAGTCACCGTGCTGTACGTGACATCCCAGGACTTATTTTATAACTGGAAGTTTGTACCTTTTGACCAGCTTCACCCACTTCACCCATGCCCCACACCACCCCATACCATCCTCTATCCCCTGCTCTGGCAACCACCAATCTGTTCTCTGTATCTATGTGTTTGTGTTTTCACTGTTTGCTTTTTTTTTTAGATTCCACATATAAATGAGATCATACGGTATTTGTCTTTGTCTGAATTTTCTCATTTAGCATAATGCTCTCAAGGTCCTTCATGTCAGAATGGCAAGATGTCATTTTCATGGCTGAATGATATTCTAGCGTATATATACACCACATTTCCTTTATCCATTCATCCATCAATGAACATGTTTTTCTAATTGTTTCAAATGCATTTCCTTTTTGTTGCTAGTTTTGCCTTAAAAAAATATACCAACTATTTATTTTGGAGAACATGTACATGCTCTTTTTAAAGTTTGGAGGAATTTTTGTCCTCAATTTTTTCCTTTCTTTCATCCCTCTGTCTTTTTATTCTCATACCTCATGATCACAATTCCATCCTCCACTAACATAATGTTAATTAAGATATAAATCTTAGCAGAACTTATAAAATGACACACTTTTTAGATGTTACTATATTTGAATGCTGTCCTTTGCTTTGGAAGTACATTAAAATGTGCTTATAGAAGGAATATGGGGTGAGAGAATGTTACTATGTACCCTGGACCCTATAATCAAGTGGACGCTAAGTTAGGGAATGGAACATACCAGAAATTCATAGCCCCCAATAGCAAGCATTGAACAGCCATTCAAATGTGACTGGTATGGTTTCAAAAACCTGGTCATTCCACAGACTCACTAATTTGTAATCTTGGCCAACTTCCTATAACTTTCTAATCCTCTGATTTTTCATCTATAAAATGGGGATAACAATACTTCCTTTATAAGTTTATTTTTGTTAAAAAGATTAAGTGAGAAGCTGCATGTAAAGTACACAGAATAGTAACTGGTGGACAGTTGGTGCTCAAAATTTTTGGATTCTTTTTTTTTTTTCTTAAAAAAAATGTTGTAGAAGAATACGAGACGCTCAGTCAAGATATCAAGACAAAAGGCAGAGGGCACATATTGCTAACCTAGCTCAACTCCTAGAGATATTCTAAAGTTAGGCTTCCTCAAGTAGGTAAGATTTTCTTCTTCATCAGTCCCAAGGTTGATTTATGGCAGCCACTCTCTGCTTCAGGTTGCAGAGATCAGATGACTGAAACTCTCAGAGTAGTGGAAGCACGAGGCTGTGTTTGAGGTGATCTTGAGGATGCACCCCTTAGAGCTGATGGAGTGACACTCTCTGGATCCAGCTACTGGGCTGTGAATCCATCCACCACGTTTGTGCCAAGGTCATGTCTTCCATTGGCTGGTTCCCAGCCAATTACTGGGCATCATAAGGATATGACTACAGGCCCATTCCTGTGAGGCATGGAGCTCTTCTAACGGGCAACTTTGGCTCAAGGACTCCCCAGTGCCCTAGCTGGGGCTTCCTTCCTGGACCCCCTTTATTCCACTCCCTCCCCTTTATTCCTCCTAGGTGTTTGCCCCACTAAATGTCTTGCATGTCGAATCCTGCCTTATTGGCTACTTTTCCAAGGACTGGCGCTAACACAATAATGAAAACAAAACTAGGTAGCAGAGTCCAGATAAACAGCATAAAGGATTTTAGGAAAATCCCCAGTGCCCCATTGTGGTTATTGTGAAATAGTTTCAAGTCATGTCCTAAACAATACTATCCCAAGGCACAGCCCTCCCACCTGTCTGAGGAAAACATATGCAATGCGGTATCATTTCATGTTGTCAACTGGAGGCGTGGCTTGCAACTATCATATCTTGGAGATGGGCTTTTAAAATTGCCCCATCCCCTTTCCCTACGACTTACGTTTTCATCTAGTTATGCTCACCTTGGTGGTGGGAATTGAATTTACTCTATATTAGTCCCTCTCCTCAAACTTGGCTGCACATTAGAATCACCTGGAAGGTTTGTTTAACAGTCCAGTGCCTGGCCCTGACCTCCACAGGTTCTGATTCAATTCGCCTGTGGTGGGGCCTGGGCATATTACCTGTTTTAAAGCTCCTCGAATGCTTAATTATGCAGTTAGGACTGAGAACCACAGCTCTGTGTGAAGTACAGCATAAGTCTGTCAACCTACCCTCATGGGTTTAGCTAAATCTGCAAAGCTTGGCTAGAATATGGTTAATCCAACTAAAAAAATCATCAACCAATAAGGCAAGGAAATTTGCAAAACTCGAGTACTTACAGACGCGAGTGACTGTAGGATGATGTATTTCTTCAAATATGAATAGAGATATAGTCGCAGATCCTGGAGAAGTATTTCACAGCAATATCACCAAAACACCACGAGCACAATCCTTGAACAAAGCAGGTGTGTGGGGCTTGCCGAGTGG